TCAACCAGCTCCACAGGCGGCCCCGTCCAGGAAACACACAGCCAGGCAGACGAGCTCCGAGCCAGCTCCCATGTCAGAGGATGAAGATTAGAACCAGAGCCAGCATGGATGAAGGCAGCCAGGACTGATTTAAAACACTTTCAGAACATTTTAGAATGTAGATTTTTGTTGTTATCATTCATGTAAATATACTGCTGCGATACCTTAGTATACATTTGATTGTTTTTTGGTTTACGTCTGTTTTGGAGTTATAGCGCCCCCTGGAGGAAGCTCCACCAGCCGCCACTGGATCTGACATCAAGGTTAGCGTTGTCTTAGTGCCATCCATCAGCGTCTCCCATCACTGTGTCCATAAATGGTTAATAAAACCAGCTAATAATGTTTGAAGACCAGCCTCAGAGCTTCCTAAATGCTTCAGCTTCAGACCCTGAAACATCAGCGTTAGCGGAGCGGTCAGCTCGATTAGCGCTTCCCAGCAAGACCGTTTAAAGCAGGTTTTAACAAACAAACCAAATGAACTAACAGCCATAATAACAGCGCTGCAGTCCGCATGTTTTTAAACAGCTTCGTTGCAGATGTCAGAACCTGACGCTGATTGGGCAGCGGCAGAGTAAATAACATGAGCTGCAAGTAAAAACTATGCAGTGAATAGAGAATCCTAGAGCAGGTATGCATTAATCCAGAACGCTTTTCAATGATGACAACATGTTCCTTTGCTTTTGAAGCCAAACAATGAAGGTAATCAGCAGTGTTATGTCACAGTAACACACAGGCAGGAAAGGATAAGAGCAGCAAATCAGAAAAACAGGAAGTCTCCTTCAGGAGCAAACACCAGCAGCTCAGCCACTAACTTTATGTATGAGAGCAAAAATAACAGAAAAAAATCATGAAAATAGTTTGGATCTCAGTCAGCCTTGAAAATGAAACGCTTGTTCTGTAAAAACCAACAAAGTTCAGTCTGAACACAAACAACAAAGTCTTTCTTTTCAAAATAAAACCCTGAAAATTGACTTTTTGTTTCTATTCTCATGTCTATTTGCACATTACAACTTTTTAAAGACTAAACTAAAAATCAAAGCATGTGGCCTTGTTTTTGTTAGAAAATGAAAAGCATGTGAGGTCAGCTGTAAAACAACAAGACAGTAGAAAGCATCAAACTGCATCTGCATGAGCAGAACATCGCTAACATCGCAGGATATTCATCCAGCCAGCAGGTGTAGAGGAGGAATGAGGAGGAGGAACAGGAAAGAATTGACAGGGAAGTAGGAGAAGAGGAAGATGGCGAGGAAAAAGAAGGGGGTTGGTAAAGTGACGTACTTGAGCCGGAGAAATGTCCGCTCCCCAGGGAGGTGGGTCCGTTTTTTCCACTGCTAACAGGAGGGGAAAACATCTACAAGACAAACAGAGAACACATTACCTCTGAGAGCACTGACGCTGCAAACAGCAAGAACATCTCTACAGAAACATCACTGGCATGAAAGGCTTCCTTCCAAAATATCACCATCTGACTAACAGCTACAGCCCAGGTTTTTATTACAGTTTTGTTTTTGTACGATTTGGACTGGGTACTATTTAACTTTATTTCTAATACCTACATTTCTGATTTTATACCAGCTTAGAGTAGTTCTATTAATGGCAGTAAGGATTGGATAAAAGGAAGCTTCTTGCTTGAGTTCACAGACATTTTGAAAGCTGTCATAAAGAAGCAGGTCAGGAGAACTCAGTCTGAGGCTGACCTGGACCTAAACGTCTGCCTTTGCAATCACCTCTCAAGTCTCAGTTAAGGGACAATTGCTCAAAGATAAAGTCCTAAAACAGCATCTCCAGACTGAGGAATATCAGGTGGTTCCAGGGTCCACAAACTGATTCTAGCATGAAATGCAATATTTCCAGACTCCAACCGTCACTCAGGGTCGCTCACTTTTTTTTTTTTTTTTACAAAACTATGTCTCCTAACGAGCCCAACGAGTCTCACTAGTAAGACCAAGAGTGACAGGCAACTACAGGACCCGAAATTGTATTGAGCAAGTCTAATAGATCAGAAACACCCAAGTCTGCTGGACCGGTCAAGCCCAACAGGTCTTATACTGGCGTTAGCTCAAGGCAACGGGTCACAGGTCAACCCAAGGAGTCAAAGATCAAGTCCTACATCAGTACCAACAGACAGGTCTAGTGTACAAGAACTGCATCTCCGAGTCGCCTCCAAATTCGCAGCAGAATTTCTCTAGAGTCAAACTATTATCACCTTCCATGGTTCGGATTAATAAGCTCAGAGTTAAAGATCAAGTCCTACATCAGTACCAACAGACAGAAACGCCTTATGAGTCAACATATGGATGTGAATATCCACGTATGACCAATATCCTGAACTTATATGGAATATAACCTTCGTCCCAATTAAACAACGCTTATCTAGAAGAACATTTAAAGTCAAGAATGACAATGACCCCAATATGGCCGCATGTCTAGTATAACACACTGAGAGAGCTAATGTACCAAAACATAGATAAGACTAGAACCATAACCAGCATGTCGTTACTGAGCACCAAACTTAGTACACATCAGCGCCAACTCACCCAGAAACAAGGCATAGCTAAAGAGTTAGGCGTCATGTGTAGTCAAAAGATTTAAAAACGATACTCAGTCCAAGGTCTAAGTCCAGGGTTAGTCACGGGTAATATTCTATAAGGAGAAATTACAGATAATGGGGTGATAGGTACAAATCCTGTCCAATAGCCAAGTAAGATACCAAGATACCAAATAGATTATGCCCAAAAGGCAAAGATTGGACAGCTTCTAGAGTCTAATCCTTAGTGAGCTCAGCGAAGGTTCCTAGTCTGGTCCAAATATGGCATAAAATTACGACAGCAAATAGATTCAGGGCCCAAGATCTGCATGTGTCAAAACACCAGGGCTGATTTATGCAGAAACAGTCTCTAAACCAAGATTTGTCATGGATAGGCAAATCCACAAGCTGGAACCAAGTCAGTCCATGCCTTCAAGCCAGAGTCAAAGGATGTACCAATGCCCGAGACTCGCATTAGACCATTTAGACTCAAAACTCAAAGTTAAAACAAGGAAACAGTAGAAAAATGTCTTAGATCAAGGCCAGCCAAGATAATTTTATGAATACATTCATGTCTGGAGCAGGTGAAGTAAAGAAGGTGAGGTCAACATCATCAGTGACTTATCCAAAGACACGTCTTAAGGAAAGGCTCAGATTTATGTAAGGTCCAAGAATCTAATCTAAACCAAAACAATCGGGGCCCCAAAAGAAAAGCTCCACCTGTCAATGGAGGTCTCCACCCTCTAGTTCCCCATTAAGAGACACGGCAACCAAAATCCGACAATACTACAGCTACGACACCAAAACCGACAAGACTACAGCTACAACACCAAATC